CAACAGTGAGTTACTGTAATGCCCTTGATCAATGGGACTTAGACTGTTGTAGTGAATTAAGGCTTATATTAACTTAAGCCACAGAATTTTAAATTGCTAGAATCGGTAAAGTGGGGAATGACTTTACTTTTCTTCAGGTAACCATCCGAAGACACAAACCTGATACCGAGTCCTTCACTTGGATCCTTCACATGTACTCCGTCATTGAGTCATGTAAAAGCCATAACTCTTCTCTCTTCCCTTTTCTGAAATTACAGTGGGTCTTCTTTGATTTTTTTTAATTGTACCCTTTAAAACAGGAGAGTGAAAATGCTTGCTGTCTACTCCACTTCCTTCTCGCTCCCCCTTTTCCTGTTATCCTAACCAAACTCCTCCATTTCCTCCTGCTGCCTGCTTCTCTTCTTCCAGACAGGACTTTGATCTGTTCTACACCTCTTTCCAGCAGCCAGCACCAAGAGCTATCATCCTGGATGCTAAAGCCAAAAAGCCTTGTGAGAGGTTCCTCCACAGAAGATAAAAGCAAAAGGAGGCATAAAGAGAGGGAGAAGGGGAGCCAGTGAGGAAGGAGGACTAGAGAATGAAGTGAAGGAGCAGAGGAAGGAGAGGCAGGGAGAGAAAATGAAGGAGGAAGGAGGGAGGCAGGAGGAGAATGTAATTTGGGTGTTATACTAAACGCTCCTAATTAATCAAAAGTACATCCTGAAAAGTGGGACAAAAAACCCTTTTTTCGTGAACTTTTCCATAAAAAGACTGTAATAAAGTTTGAGTGAGAGGATAGGAGGGGTGGAGTAAGGCAAAGGTCAGGGAGAACCCTGGAGACAAATGTTGCCTACTTCCTCATTTTCCCCAAGGCTGTCCCTGGTCATGCTTTTGCTGACCTTCCAAGAAGGAGCTCCAGACGACATCCTCTCCTTCTGCCTCAGCCAAAACTAGCTGGACCCAGGCTCAATGACCCGGCGTCCCCGGACAGTGTTGAAGCAAGGCTCTGAGACTCTTGACATAAGGGGAGTAGAAGGAAAAAAGAGAGTGAGAGAGATTGTCTTCTGGGAGCTTTACCCCACCTCCATGAAGGCAGCGGCCCCAGTTCTGAAAAAGTGTTCTCTTGTTTGGCCATAAAACTGTCTACACAGCTGGAACTGGGTCACCAAACACAGCCACAGGATACTAGAACCGTCAAGGGACCGAGAGCTCATCTAACCCTGCCCCCTCATGTCACAGATGAGGGATCAGAGGATCCAAGTACTTGGTGAATTGCATAATAGCAAGTTGGGGGCAGAACTGGGATGTGAGTCTGGTTTGGGCCCTTTTCCTCCAGGCCTGGTTTATTTTTATGTGAGGAGTAGCTCAGCAGTGCAGACAGACAGGGCCTAAGAAGCATATTCAGATGAAAACTGGCCTCATTTCAGCTGTCTCTGGATCTCTTACTCATTTCAAGAAACCCAGCAACAACATACAGCAGCATGGCACCTTGGAAAAAGCCCTGAATGAGGTTCTAGTCTTGTTTGTTCTACTTAATAGCTATGCGACCTCGGACAAGACCCATCATCTCTGATCTTCAGTTTCCTCTGCTGTATAAAATCTGAATGATAGCACTAACTACCTCTAATTGAGAGGATTACTATAAGTGCTTCTATATCAATATAACTGATGTTTCGCTTTTGAAAAATTAATATTTAAAACATTTAGTAGCCCATAAAGTGCTGGATTTGTATATGTATATATGTACATACATATATATGTTTATACACACATATATGACTATTTGTGTCTAATGGTAGCCATCTCTAGGGTGGAGAGAGAGAAAAAGAGAAAAAAAGAAATTTACATGATAACTTTATCACGTGTTTAAAAGGAATAAGCAAGCTGCACATATTAGATTTGCAGTTTCATGTGCAATCATCTTTTTAAATAATACTATGTTATAGAAATACTTGTTTGATTTCATAAATTAAAAATAAAATGAATACAAACTTTTTAAAATAAAATAAATAATTATTAATCAGTATGGCCAATCAAAGCTCATTTTTACATTGCCACAAATTTGACCAACCCAACTTTGTGGCCAAAATTACATTTTAATTCCATTGATCCAGTTCACTCAATTATACATTTCCTCCTCATAGTCCATGAAGATTATGAAGACATAGTCTCAAAGTTCATTTCTTAGATCAAAAGTTCCTTAAGGGCAGGGGTAATGTGTTACTTCATATCTTCAGGGGAGGTCTAGCACAGTGCTTTGCATATATACAAGATTCTCGATGAATATTGAATTGAATTATGTGCCTCCTTCCCCGTTCAGATGGAAACATGAGCTGATTATGTGTATATACTGGATCTACTACCTTGTGATTGCCAAGTGTATTTTCTGGTGTCTTCAGTTTTCATTTTTATGATTTGCTAATTGATCATCAAAGATGGCTGCAATGGACAATAGTCCACTGTGATGCTCCTTCATGTTCTAACTCAGTCCATTCCATGCTTAACCGGAGATTTGAAAACTCAGACTTTCATTTTCATCGAGCAGGACATATAACAGTAAAAATAAGAAAGACAAATGAAGGCAAAAAATAAAAAGCAGAAGTGTGACCTTCAGCATCAGGTTTCATTCTCTGGGGAAATAAAGGCTGCCTCTACAGGTGCTCAGCAGGGAGTTGGTTTAAGGAGGCTGACTGACTTTCAAAGTGATTCAGTTGAAATTCAGCTTTCTGCCTCTCTAAATCTAGGACAGACCTAGCAGTGGGGCTCAGACCAGCAAGGTCTTCCTTACCTCTTATTTCTTTAAAAATAATGTGTACTGATACATCTTGTTTTTACAAAGCTTCGTTTCCAATACACCCCCCCCTTGCCCCCCACAGAGTCATATTTCAAAACGAAGAATCAAAAAGAAAGAGGGGAGGGAGAAGCCGTCCAGAAAATTATGCAATACAACAACTGTGTCTGGTAGGCATAGTGAATAATGTCTCTTGTCAATGATTTAATTCAATGAGCGTCTAAGTACCTTCCAAGTGTCCAGCAAGCACTCCATTCTAGGTGGTGGAGATACTTCTAACCCTGTTCCTGAATTTCACAGATGAGGAAACAGAGGCTCCAAGTAGTTGGTGAATTGCATAATAGCAAGTTATTGCAAAAAGTCCTTGCCCTAAAGGAACTCATTATCTACTTTTCTTTAATATTTTTCTGTTTTTGTTTTTTCATTGAAAGAGCATCTTGACGAATGTCCTGAAACAAACAGTTTCAGGACTTAGTATTCCCTCAAAACCACGTGAAAGCAATCTTTTTTTTTCTTAATTGGAGGAGAGTGGAACAGAAGGCAAGGCTATGTTCGGAGATGGTTAGCTTAGCACCTTTGATTTGTCAGTCCTCTCTATTGCTGGTAACCTAGGTAGGAAACAGGGGATCCACCCCTCAGAAATGCCACTGTGCTCCTGAACTTCTGGTTGAACAAGAAACGAGGCAGAGTTTGGATGTGACTAAGCAAGGCTGCCCCAGCTTCCAAGTTTCACTGAAGAGAATTAGCAACTCTCTTAAGAGAGAAGCTTTCCACTCAGCCTTCTCTCTCTAATTCAATTCCTCCCCTATCCACCCTTTAATTTGAGGAACAGGTCCCGAGGGAAAAAAATGAATAATAAAAAAGCACCTTCATCACTAGAAGAGGAGAGCCCTTTTTCTTAATAGTAAGTTTAAGATGTTCTTAGTCGAATGTATGCAAAACAGATATGGAGAAAAAAAATTAATAAAAGATTTCTTCACCTGTAAAATGAGGGGGCTAGACCTGAGGGCCTGTAAGGTTTCACCTAGCTCTTAATCTATAATCTCATGGCCGAAGGTGAAATGCCCCCACATGGAAAAAGGATGGTTGTTCCGCCTTTCTTCTCGCCATGATTTTTTGAAACCAAGCCATCCTCCCACCCCTGGGAAAAAGTTAGGGGTAAGGATCCAAATGACTTTTTCCCTCCTTTGGCAGGAGTAAAATAAAGTGGAATTCTCAGGCCCTCATTCCCATACGCCCATCCAGCTCTGGCTCACAGCAAGGGGGAACAGCTCAATCCTCCAGGATCCTGCTCTCTGAGGTTGCTCATTTCTGTTTCCAGGGAGGAAGTTAGCATCACCTCAATCCTTCCTCTTTTTTCAACCCAGCCCTCAGTGGGGCAGTTAGCACAGGTGGTAGAAACTAAAATCAAATGTAGGCAGAAGTGGGCCCTGACTATTGTCTTTGCCCACGTGCTGAGGGTCAGGTAGATTGGAAAAGTGCCATCCATTCAATTCTGGTGAACAGGTGCCCACCCTTGCACAAAGACATAAAAAATATCCTCAGATGAAATCCTTTTGCTTAGGGGAGCTCAATGTTTTCTGTGGGTGCATTTGGTCGAATTTTGTCTTTGGAAACATACAGCTAGCAGTTGGTAGTTCAACCTACTTCTATCCAGATACAAGGAAAACACAATCATATCACTACAAGTCATCTCATTGCCTGCAGGCCAGGAGGAAAACCCCTAAGTTATCTTGAACACAGGGAGGGCAATTCAATTCAAAAAAATCTCGGGCATTTGCTCAATAAGCTACTTATATTAACTCTTCCTATCATTGCTATCTTTTTTTTTTTTAAGAAAGGTTTTTTTTTTTCTTTTTGGCATTGGGGAAAAGCTAGGGTAGTGCAAATAGACCATCTGCATATAAAGGGGGGGTGTTGGTTTATTTACATGAACTTAAAAAAAACTAGCATAATTCCAGCAATGCTACTTAGTACCTTTGTGAGCTGGGGCGTCATTTGATTTTACTGAGCCTCTGTCCTCCCTGCAAAGGGAGGGAGTTGGATCAGAGGTCCTCTCCTGCTCAAGATCTTTCTGTCATTCCACCAGAACAGCCCCTCCCGCTTTCTCCTCCAAAATTTCCCGCAACAGAGCGCCAATGCCCGGAAGTGATGGCCCGCGGAGAGACAGACAGATCCCAGCTCTGTGTGTATGAGAGAGAGAAGGAGAGAAGGAAGGAGGGCAGCTGAAGGAAAATTTGCATGCCCAATCAGTTTCAGAATTAAAGTTTACACAATGCCAAGTGAGTGGGCAAGGCTGATGAGATCACATGACTGTGTAGAAACATGAAACTTGCCTGTGTGCTCCTGCGAGTTTTACTTCTTCTCCCAGAGTAGGAGCGGAGCGCTCCCGGCGGACTCGCATTCGCTCTCCCAGGCTAGACGCCCCGGCTCATCCTCTGCTCCTTTAACCAGGGGCTCTCCGCCCACGCTTTCTGTTAGTGTCAAAACCGACTGATGTTGCTCCTGGAGGGTGTTTGGTCTACCTGGTGATTGGGAAAAGAAAAAGAAAAATGGAGAGGTTTAATAGGATAGCTGTGCCAGCTGGACAGAAGCTGAGGTGAGTTTCCGCTCGTCCAGTCCTTCATTTGTGATACCGAAAACCAGTCACTTAAAGACAGCAACGACTCCCATAGGGAAAAAAGTTTTCTGTCTTCCTACTTATTTGTCTTTTTTTTTCTTTTTGCTATTTTTCCTTTTATCTTTATCTCTATCTTTTCTTTCTCTTTTTCATCCTTATTTCTTTTATTCTACCATTTTTCTATTTTATTTTCTTCCTACCTTTTAAAAAATTTTATCTTTGCTGTTTTCTTCCCACCTATCTTTAAAAAAAATTATCTACATTGTTTTTTTCCTATTTTTTTTCATTCTACCTACCTACCACGTTGCTTTCTTCCTACCTATCTTCTCTATTGATATTGGTTTCTTTTCATCTTTGTCCAAGTGGATCTGCTAAGTGGTCTTCAGTCCAGGGCCACTTTAAGAGCAAAGGTAGACAGCACAAAGTGAAAGCTAAAGAGACTTAGGTGCTTTCTAAGAGCTGGTTTTCACCCTCTCTGATCCCAAGACATTCTCAAAGAGGCTTGCTCATTGATTCTGTTATTTTTATTATGATTCTAATTCTGTGGCTAGATTGTGGTCTACGGTCGATGAGTTCAACTATGGATACATTTGACATGTATGTTAGGATGATAGAGTCCCTGTGACTCTGGAATCAAATTCTAATTATAACATTTACCAACCTTATGACCCTGTGCAAGTCACTTATCCTCCATGTGCTTCATGCAACTCCCTAGTACTAAGTCACAGATGGGTTGCCGTCTTTAAATTTCAGACTCTTTGCATGTTCAATATATTTTACGGTTAGATGTTGTTTTCCCTACATCACCTCAGTCTAAGTGAAATCGAGGAGGCAAAATCCTGTTGTAGTGTTTGATTTTTTAAAAGTTTAAATATCATCAAATAGATGTGGGTCAAAAGGGGTTTCTGAAAGGATAGAAAATGTTTCTAAACTATAGAAAGGACAATTCCAAGCTTTGGTTTTAAAGACTTTTATATGAGGATATTCTAACATCAAGGCAATTCACTAATTATTGCTTACAGTTTGGCTTGAGAGAGAGGCATTTTAAAGAGGGGTGTGTTCTATCAAATTTCACATGGGATTTTATGATGAAATTGCATATTAGAAATCCTCCTCCCATCTTAGGGATGCTCTGATGTATACAACAGAAACAGTCATTACTACTTATGGTAGCAATTCAATAAAACTAGCACCTCTCTGAAGTTCTTAGGACTATGGAGGGCCTTTGTGTCTCTTAAACACTGATTCAGTAATGACAGTAATTTAGTTCAATAGTAATTACTGAAAACGTATTATAGGCTAACAGAATACTAGAATAAGGGAGGGGGAGGGGATATGAAAGTAGAGGTCTATAGTCTGTTCTCTCAAGGAATTTAACTTCTCACTAAAGGGATAAGCCATACATGGATTGATTAAATCATACAAGAGAGGATTAGATGCAAATGTGAGTGTTACAGAGGGTGACTCTTGTCAGACTTCAGAGAAAGTAGACATCAATGTGGAATGGACTGAGAAAGTTTGAGAAGACTTCCTGAAGGTGGCATTTGAGCTGAATATTAAGGGATGAGTAGGTTTTAGATGGAAAAGAGGAAGGAGAGAGAATGCTGGGAAGTTGAAACAAAATGGTCAGAGGCATGGACGTGAAGTGTTTGCAGGACAATAAGACCTAATGACCTTTCCAGAGGATTCAAGTTGGGGAATAGTAGGAGACAAGGTTGACTAGATGGGTAAGGATCAATTACAGAGTCTTGAAAGACAATGGAAAACTTGAACTTTACTCCTTAGTCCAGTGGTTCCCAGCCTGTATAGTCTGTAGAACACTGGGAAGCTATTAATTATCAGACCCCCATCTGTGTGCACTAATCACTAATGTTGCATCACTGTGTATATGCTTAATCAGTGGGTGCTCATAGTAATAACATGTGGATCCATGGGGGGTTCTCTTACTCTAAGGTTGGGCCACAATTGCTGTATACAATACAGTGTCCTTGGAGGTTGTTGAGCAGTGGAGAGAAGATTAACCTGGCAGCTTGTGGGCTATAGCCTAGGGGGATAAGTTGCTGGGAGATAACTTCTGAGAACCTAGTTGGGTGGCTGATCGTGGTCATCCAGCCTTGAGGTTTTGATGTCCTGGAGGGAGAATAAAAAGAAAAGCATTGATATGAGAGAGATTTCACAGTGAGATTAGATGAGCCCTGATGAATTTAAAGGAACCATCTTTAATGACTTACCTGAAATGAATGGGGGCTTTCAATGTGCAACTTTGTAGATGGGTATCTGTGACCTAGAACTACCAGTACCTTAAGTAATCATTAGTGTTGCTGTTTTTTTTTTTTTTCAGTGAATTCAGATAAGAGACTAAGTAAAGGGCATGAAATCTCTACCATTTTGTGCCCTGCCCTCCCCTTCAAGTACAAGGTCCAGGCTGATTACAGAGTAGAAAGGGAAAGATATTTTTTTGTAGATTACAGGGTAGTAAATGGTAGCTCTATTGTGAATAATGCATAAGCTGGATTTGGCCTGAATTTTTCTCTTAGGGGACCACTGTAGACATTGTGGGCCTTCTTAGTTAGACTATAAATGGCACTTACCAAAGAAACAAAACTGGGGGGGGTGGAGATTGAGAGGGGAACGAACCAACCCAATAACATGCCTTCTATTAAACAGATACATATTTTATATGATAGAAATATGGCCACTTGTGATTGAATACACATGCTACTTAATGTGCTTTACATGTTCTCACACCATTTGCAACTGATTTTTAAGATTTTTATTGAATTAAATACCTTGTGAGAGCTGGTTCAATTGAAGTGAAGGCTTGGGACATGTCTACCAAAGTATTTCCATCCATTTTATATTTCATTATGTTTATCATATCCATTCCTTTCCACATAACTTGCCAAGCAAGGAAATGGTGCAGATAAAATGTTGAGCCCAATGAAATGATCTTCCTACTTTTGGAGGCCTCTGGGAGCAGCTTTGAAGAGTTAGTTCTCAACGTCATTGTGAATTAGGGAAAGCTGGTGGCCTTTTCATTTTATAAATAAGAAAATTAAAGCATGGAGACAGTAAGAGGCTTGCCCAATCTACATAGGATCGAGTACATCAGTAATTCATGGTAAATAATGTGAGAATTTTGGGGTAGAGGGACGGGCATCTAATTTTGTTGTTAGACCAAATTCACAAGATAGGAGTCATCTCCATTATAACTCAGTAAATCTGGCCACATAATGAAATTATCTCTGTTGGAAAGTGGAGGGGCATTAAAATTTGGGGGACAACAGGGAGATGGCATTCATGACCATTCCAAGATCAGACAGAGAAAAAAACCAACCTAGATAAAAATTAAGTTTGTTTTTCTCCCTTCTGCATCCATCATGACTTTCTTGGCCCTATTAAGGCAGTAAAGTGGGAGAATGCCAATAGTAATAACAGACATTTAGATCATGTTTTGAGGTTTCCAGAGTGATTTTTATATATGATCTCACTTCTTTTTTACATCTACCCTTTTAGGTAAGTGGTCTAAGTGCCCCTGATTTGCAGATGAGAAAACTGAGGTGAAGAGAAGTTAAGAGAATTGTTCAGAGTCATAGAGAAGAAGTGGCAGTGAAGAGTATCTCTTCTCTCCCACTGTATGAATTATATGTATTATGTGTATGTGATTATGAAGACATAATCACAATTCTCTGCTCTCCTGCCACAGTCAGTCAGTCCACAATTATAGTGCCTACTATGTGCCAGGCACTGGGCTAAGGTCTGGGGATACACAGAAAGGCAGAAGGCTGTCTCCTTTCAAGCAGCCCACAGTCTAATGGAGGAGACAACATGCAAAGAGCTATGTACAAATATGCTATATACAGGATAAATTGGAAATAATCAATAGAGGGAAACATGCTAAAATTAAGGGGGATCAAGAAAGGCTTCCTGTAAAAGGTGAGATTTTGACTGGGACTTGAAGGAAGTCGAAGGGTGGAAATGAAGAGGGAGAGTACTCTAGGCATAGAGAACAGTGAGTGAAAATGCCCAGAATTAAGATATGGAAGTATGTGCAGGGTCAAGCCCCCACTGGGCATTTGAGATTTTTCCCAGTTTCCTAGGATAGAAGAAGTTAGATGAATTAAGGAAAATGTAGCTGAGAGTTTTCCTGAGGTTGACCCTGAGATACCAGAGGAAGGAGAGAAAAAGGTTGGTGATGTATGTCACTGTCATGGAGGAAACCCAGAAACAAACAAGCAAACAAAGCTTGGCTAATCACTTAAACAAGATGAGACAATTGGAGAACTTTGATATTGTAGACATTTTGTTATATTTGCTTAAATGGATGAGTCCATTCTATATTAGATACCAGATGTTAAATGTGTACAAAGAGATAGGTCCGACCCTTCAAGGAACGTGTCCATTTAGAATGTACCTAGGGACAGGAATTTAGGCTGTGAAAAGAGAAAGGAGAATTCTAGAGGGAGCTAAAGAGGGATGTGGTGAGTCCTTGGGTCTAGAAACAGAAGCAACTTTGGAGATTGGTTAGCCTAAATCCTTCATTTCATAGATGAGGAAACAAAGGCCCAGGTAATCGGTAGCAGAGGTACATTTTAAAACTAGGTCTTCTGAGTCTATGCATAGTGTTCTTACCACACACTGTATTGCCCCGGGAGAGAGAACTACGTCAGTTCAAAGACAGAGCATGGATATCCCTGAGTGATCATGCTAGCTCTTAAATTAGCAGCGAGTATATCTCTGAAGTAATTCAGTCAAAAGGAGATTTGTTGAGGAAATCATTTCTGAATCTTTCTGGAAGACAGTGCTGAGAGGGAACAGTTTAAAAGTATTGTTTTATCCCCAGGCCCCTTCCAGACAATGAAAAGAGTCCTTTGGGCAGAGGGATGATTCTAACCAATCTGAGCCCCATTTTCCTCATTGAAATGAGAAAAAAGTTTCTGAAGTACCTAGCATAATTCACAGGATTGCTATTAGGTTCA